TCTCCTCTCCTCTCCCCTCCCCTCCATATTGTTTTGGCTTCCCCATTGACGGTCGATTATTTTGAGGAGTAAGGAAAGGAAGATCTAACTGGTAATATTCATACATAACAATGTTTTCCGCATGTATGAATTTCGAACTATCAATTAATTTATGTAATTTTTGTTCTTAGCAGGATTATTAAATAATTTCAACATTTACATCCACCGCAAGTCACAAAATCAGAAATTTAACGACATTAAAAGTTACAAGTTGTGACCAGTGATTTATAAAGGCGGCCACAATGTTACTAACAACTACAGATTTTTCCCAACTGTAAATGCGTTATTGAAATCATAAGCCCACTGGAAATAGTATCAATAGTAATAAAAATTTGTTCTCTAAAACATGAAATAAGTAGCAAAAGTACATATATTATAAACCTAAATGGTACATCAAAGGTAAATATCGATGAACATACAAATTTAATCAATTTTTTGTTTGTGTAACCCCTCTCGAATGTAATTCGTATTGGAAGTCACATCAATTGCAGAGCCAGATAACACGAAAAACGAAATTTGAGACATTGAAAATTGACCTACAAGCAATGTTGAAACGTGATTTCTTCTCAATTCAAAGCAGGTAACTAACTGTCATTAATTAATTGTAATGTATATTTTATTGACATTGTTAAAATTGTTACCAATTCCAGGGTTTTCCCAAATTTTAAACATTGGCCTGATTTTTCATTTTCCTATCTCGTATCCTTGTGCTTATCAATTTTTCTCTTTAAATCACTGGCATTTAGGCCTTGCCTATGTCTTGGGCCAGGCCCAACAATTTCTTAGCCCAATAGAGAGAACATTGGATCTAGTATTCTTTCACGGACATAAAATTCCGCTATTTTATCGACTATCCGGAGTAGCAGCTGCCTCTGTACTGGAAAACATCAGATGATGGCGGCCGGCGCCACCGCAGTTTTAAATTCTGTCGTCACAAGTAGCTTGGTCTCTTCATTTTTATCTGCTTCCTGTTACCGGGGGAACTTAATCACTCCTATCAACCTCGTGCGCACGTTAGCCTTCACCGCCCTATACAAGGATACTCGCCGTCACAGGACCTTCAATAACAGAAACAGAAACTTCATCTGTGAATCCTCCGCTGCTACAGATATCAGTTCAACTTCTTCCACTTCTCTCTCTAATAATGGGTACCTTATAATTTAATTTGTATTATCATATATAGCATGTTAGTTTGTCCACTTACATAGTGCACATTCAGTTTTTTTTAATTACTGTGAATGTGTACTGGTTTGGGTTGCAATGGAAATGGTAAATACAGTGTTCAAATTTATTGAAAGATCAGAAAGAAGTGATTTTGTTGAAAAAATTAGAATCTTTTGATATTCCAACATACATAATTACCCGTAGGGATGTTTCATTCGAGGCGTTTTGGCTTCTTTTTATGCTGTAATATATTCGTGGAGAAGATATCAACTGAATTCTGAATGGTTGTCGAGTAGTTCTTCTATAGCTGAATACATTTGCCTATTTGGTTGGTGACTGAAATGGGACTTATCTATTGAAAGATATAATTAGTGCTCAGATAGAATTATATAAAACTTTAATTAGTAAGTCATGAATGATGGAAAATTATGGAAGTAACCTTCCTTTCACACTAGAGTATAACATATCTTCTTGTCTGGTATATACCGAAGTTTGAATATCCAGCTGCCTGTATTAGGACAGAGGAAAATGAGTGAATTTTCAGTATTGTACAACTGATAATGACATTTTCAATGTCATCAATCAGTTATCAGGTATTACTTTACTGTTAACACTGAATTTCACTAGTTCTTGGTTGAAAATTTATTTTTTACGTTCTCTTGTGAAGTAAAATGTATATGTTTTATTTGCATTCCTCAGTCATTATTCCCCTCTTGATCTGACCCTGTGACATTTTTTTTTTTTTCAGCTACCCGATATATAACCGCCTTCTTCCATGCCCCTCGCATAATGGGCCTCCAAGGGTGGAACACTTGGTTGTTTCAGAAGGAGGGTCTGTTTTAGAGTATATTTGTCAAGCTTTGAGTCTTCCTCCCTTGTGAGTTCTGCCATTTCTCTATTATTTATCTTCTAACTGTGATCTGACATGAGATATTGAGTTGTTCAAAATTGATTTAAGTGATAATTATGTTAAAATGTTGAATTTCGTATTTCATGCAAGGTTTGTTGCAGATCTAATTCACTTTGGAGCAGTATTTTATGCTCTTGTATGCCCAGACCCTCCTCAGAATGCCACGCCTGAGCAAATCAAAGTGTACAAGGAAGTTACGGATCCATCAGTTCTGAGAACAAGAGCATCTATTAAAGGGAAAACTATACGAGAAGCACAAAAAACTTTTCGCATAACACACATTGATGAATTTGTTGAAGCTGGAACTTACTTACGAGTGCATGTACACCCAAAACGCTTTCCAAGGTATTTATTGGATAATGTTTACTCAATATGCCTTTTCCTGGAAGTTAGTACCATGTTGATTTAACTTAGCAAGGCTGAATGCTTTGTGTGATGTATCTGCTTGGAACAGATGCTATGAAATTGACTGGAGATCTCGAATCATTGCTGTGACTGATTCCTACGTTGTTCTGGACAAACCTGCCGGTACATCGGTATGTAGTTCTTTCTCAACTAAATAATTGCACAGCTTTCTGTAAATAGAGAGTTTATTTGGTTCCTGAAACTAGTAACTACGAGCTCCACTAGTTTTTGCTTCATGATGGATTATAAGTTTATTATGAATTTTAATATAAACAGCTTGTTTAGTTTTTTAATCACGATTCATTCTTGTTTCTTCAGTCTCATAAGTTCCATGCATCCTTTTCCACTTCTACAAATTTGACAGCTGTCAATTTGTTACTTCCTAGAAGTTCTGTTCCCATGTTCCTCCGCTACACAATGAGAAATTTTAGGACCGGCGACATATTATTCCTGAAACTTCATTGACAAAGCATGCCAAGCGCAGTCAAATTTCAAATAGAAATAATGTCTCGTCTCTCAATTCTCTTGGTAAACTATTGACTTGGTATATGTAAATGTTAAATTTTCAATTATATAGAATGTGGCACTTATTGTTCTTGAACAACCATATGTATTAGCTTAAAGTCACAATCTTAACTTTTGTTGCAACTTTTCTATTGATAGTCATTTACTTGGAATCTGATGAGCATTTTGAAGGTTATTTTCTTGCCTTCTTAGGATGCCCATGTTAATTTTGATTAGGTCGGAGGCACTACGGACAATATCGAAGAAAGTTGTGTGACATTTGCTTCACGTGCCTTAGGATTGGATGCTCCATTGAGGACTACCCACCAGATTGATAATTGTACAGAGGGCTGGTAAATCAAACAAATGTTTTCATCTATTTTATGGTAATGTGAATAGCGAAAACTGATGACTTCAAGTTTACTTGCAGTGTCGTACTATCAAGAACGAAGGAGTACTGCTCAGTTTTTCATGGGAAAATAAGGGTTAGTTGCAATTTCTTCTTTTTGCTTGATATCAGAAAATTGCAACTTCACTTTGTAAAGATAATACTTAGGCAGCAAACTTTTGTTATTCTAGCTAATTATTCTCAGGGTTTAGCTTCATGTGAAGATTTTTGAAACAGTCATGGGTCTTAGCTTATAATGTCTACTACTTTTTATAGAAAAACAAAACCACTAACAGGTAAGAGTAATAGGAATACATATGTATTGTCCTCAGGAGAAAAAGGTGAAGAAGCTTTATCTTGCTCTTGCTGCTGATCCTGTGTCAATTGGAGTAATTACACACTACATGCGTCCAATTAATATTGCACCTCGACTTGTTTCTGAAGGTCAGCAGCTTCATTACATTACTAATTGTACGAGCTTGCTTTATCTTTTTAAGAGTTTAATCCTTTATGTTCCATTTACCCGTTTAACAAGATTTTTCTTGGCTTAGAGATATTTATGTTTAGTTTTTCCCTAATGAAAGTCAAACCTGATGTGGTCCAAGCAGATTTCATTAAAGGATGGTACTTGTGCCAACTTGAGGTCTTGGAATGCAAGAAGGTTCCATGGCCAGATGCTTTAACTGAAAAGAAATATAGTATTGAAGATTGTGGATGGCCTAGTAAAGACTTTGCATACGAATGTAAAATTGACCTTTTGACAGGTCGAACACATCAGGTGTGTATTCTGTTCCCATCTATTGTGAAAGGGAAGCTGGAGCAACGATGTGTCTTTTTAACACACCCTACTCTTTGTCCATAGATAAATAAGCACATCATGTTATAGAAAGATTTTTCCTATGCTTTTCATCCATCTTAATGACAATTTAGTTGAGTTTGATCACTGCTGTTCAGGGAATGACAGGATCTCTCTCCACATAAGACATTTGACATTAATTTGCAACTCAAATTCTATCATTGGAAGTGGCTTGAGTTCCAGAAGAGTGGAAAAGAAGCAACACATTGTTTCCTATTATACTTGAAATTATAAGAAGTGTTATGTCTGCTTCAGTTTCAAAATTTACTTTCTTTTGGTTGAAAGTTCTAGAGAAGGGGACAGGTAGAGAACACACAAACATTTGACTAAAGGAGCACTGTCAAATTTCCCTTTCTAATAATAAATACAACATCTATGTATAAGAAAATCAATGTTATGTTCGCTAAATTACTGGATTGAGTTTTCAAATTTTACCTTCTTTTTTATTTGGTTGAAATTACTTGAGAAGGGGTTGGATTAGAGAGTGCATGAACATTTGACTAAAGGAGCACCTTATCCCTTTTCTATTTACAAATGCAACTGCTGTGATTATGTTTACCATGACATGATCTCATGATTGCAGATTCGGGCACAATTGGCTGCTTGTGGTGCCCCATTAGTGGGCGACTCCATGTATATGCCAGCTGCAATTGCTGAGATGCACAAACCAGGGCTTAATCCATTTGGCAAGTACACAAAAGGATATGCCACTGAGAATGATAAAGATCTGCACGTTGAAGAGTGGATTGCGTGCCATGGAAAGGAACCTAGCATTGCTATTGGTCTTCAGGCATGTCAGATTTCGTGGGACGAGGGAGAGCACATTTATGCGGCTAGATCTCCGTGGTGGAGGTAGATAAAGCTTAGATGCATCGGCTTTACCAGAGTAACTGACAAAATTGATTGTGTTCTCTTGCTTAAGGTAGATCTCTTATCACGTTTATGTTGTCTTTATGTGCAAACTTTTAATCATCTGCAGATAGCAATTTTCTCTTTTCATTTGCAAATCTTGTATACATTGGTGGAATCGCTAGTGAGGGTTGTTTTGATAGTGACACTGTAGGGAACACAGTAATTCTAGAGCAGGATCTCCTGCGAATATCATTTCATTTGATGTCAAGATAAGGCAAATAATAATCATGAGAATCAAGAATTCACACTAGGATAAAAAAAAGTTAGATGACTTACCCAACTTAATATTTTCTTATTCTTTTAGATTTCTCTTCCCTTTTTCACTGAACCTTTTTTCAGCCAGGTGGGTCTTCTTCTTCATTTGTTTATTATTATTATTATTTTTTTCCTACTTTTTTTGGTTGTGGTCTAGTTTTGGGAATATTTTTTACATGAACTTGAAATGTGTGAAATCTCACTGTAAGATAGTTTATAGAGTAAGACAATGAAATCAAATCTAGCTTATGATCGTACTTGCTTTTGATATCTTTCATGTTTTAATGGAATGAATCTCGGGCGTCAGTGTGGAAGTACATTTACAAAGTATTTTCTGAATTAAATCATATTCTTCAAACAATAGGACACAAGCATGCCAAATATATATTTCCTTCTCCTTCCAAGAATCCTAAGAACATCAATATTTACAGTCTCTCTAAATTAGAAATGTATGGAATTAGCTTTTGGCTTTGGGCTCGGCTCTAATGTGTTCTCTAATGAAAGTCTCTGTAACAAGTTGCCATTAACTTTGGAAATCTATTTAAAGTGACTCAATCAATGTGGTAAGCCCAAACTGTTTACCGTATCCACTTGACCGCTCAAAGTTGTCGAGGAGGACCAGACAGTATCCCCTCACACCTGCTCCCTTCCTGTTCATGTAGTAAATTACAGAGATGAAAGGACGTGATGCTATGTCAATACTCAATTTTAGGCCTAAGTTTGTTGTGTTTTGGAATTTCAAGTACTTGAAGAAATGGGCTAAACAAAGTGCGTCGTTTTATTATTGATCTATGTGTTGATAGACAAGAAATTTATTTATTGTTTGCCTTATGTACTACTGTGCATACCTCATGGCTGTTCACAGGGCATCTAGGTAGTTGGCCATGTACTTCACTTGCTGCTTGTCATTTATAGATTCTTCAATGGTGGAACTCGAATTGCTGACCTTGCAATATCCTAAAATTCATCTCATATTTGTCAATAAAATATCAGATAACTAAACTGCAGATATTAGTTGTGGTGAAGCTTATAAAATCTGAAGCTTCTCTGAACGCTTCTCTTCCCCAGCCCACAAATTAAGACTGGTGATTCTTATATTATATAAAAGGATAAAATCCTGAAAATAATCAACAAATTGAAGGAGAGAAGAACACAGAAATGGGGAATTATATTGTGCTTGTCTGCTGTACCATTTTCTAGTTTCTGCAATAATTATTGGTGTGTTGTTCAATCTTTCTTTCAAATATGTGACCAGTTTCTCCATTCCTTGTGGATAAAAGAAGAAATAGGTCAGCAAAAGCTAGACACTTCAGTAATTATGCAAGGACCTAGTGCTGAAGCTATGGAGAATCGGAGTTAGTAACAAACTTACAAGTTCCCAATGGGAATGCCATCCTTATCTGTTGTTTGTTTGGTGAAACCTTCAGTTCTCGAGGTCCCTAGAATGGTTTGAAAACATGGATGCAGAAGCTGGCATAATGTTTTAAGCCGATGAAATCCAATCCCTTCTGTAGTTTTGACAAATCACTGTGTGAAAATTCTGATAACTTGGATCCAAGAATGTTTGTCATTTTGCTTGTATATTTCCAAATATGATTGGGTCCAGAAACTTTAACACTTTAAGAATAGGGCATGCATGTTCATTTCTGAATGGTGCACGCACGCTCATTTCTGCCGATGTAATTGTCCAGTTGGATGCTATATTAGTTTATTATTGTGGTTTTCTTTTCTCTCCTGTCTTTCGGCTTGTCATTTCATAATTTTGAAGTGACTTACCCGTTTGAAATGGAAGCTTGGCTCTTTTTACAGCTAGCTTGTCAGCACTGTATGGTAGTTCCTATATGGCCTCCCTGTTCTGAAATGTTGGCTTATATCGCTCCTTCCTCTTCAAGAAAAATTTGTTTTGCAGTGCGAGATATCTTTTTTGTTTAATAACTGAAAACTTGAAGTCTTGATATGAAAAGTATAAAACCGTTCGTAAGATCCAGCATTTCAGCATAAAGTTTCATTGATTAATTTTGAAGCATCAAGTCTTAAATGTTGTATTAGTGGATAGAAAACCCTCATTATACCTGGTACTTGGGTTCCATATACATTAATAGTAGCCGTGTGAGCCAAGATAATTTCCTTCTCTGCATCCATCAATGCTTTGTTTTCAGACTTGATAGTCGATATTGTATCTCAAAACTTATTTATTTTGGAACAGTTCTCTCCACTACTCTTGTAGTTCAATCCAGTGGAGCACGTATTGACTTAATTTGGATATTTACATGTTGAGTTTTAAATTATTTAGTGGGATATTCTTTACCAGGTACATTATTATTATTATCTTTCACTACCAGTTTAGTTCTTTTAACTTTGCTCAACTTTTGTGGCGACTTTTAATAAATAGTCATTCCTTATAATGCATGAGCATTCTTCAAGTTTAGTTTCTTGCCTGCTCTACAAATCCTTGTTAATTTTGATATGTACAATGTAAATGCGGTTGGAAATTGTTTGTTTTTGACTAACTATGATCGATTATCAAGCGAAGTGATGCTGTGTATAGAAAATGTTTGACAGATTTTTTAGCTATGCACATTTGGTAGTTTTTCATTGTTAGATGATGATGATGATGATGGTGATGATAAAAGCAGCAAGCAAAGCACCTGTATGACTTTCGTGAGTATTTCCCCTTATACATAGAATTACTCTATTAAATGAGAGCTCTTAATCGATTGCGGAAGTTCGAAGCTTGTGTTCTACGTCATGAATAGATTATTAAAGTATTGAATCAATTTCAGATGAATGAGAAATTGAGGTCAAAATTTAATCACTTAACATGGAAATTATTTGAAGTTGAAATTAACCTAAGGTGGAATATTCAATTGACTAACACAGACATAATATTCTCTGACATATTGGCTGAAAAGGTGTATTTTCGGGTGAAAAATCACGTCTTTTGAATAAAAGTTATCCACATACAAGTTTTTTGAGACGTGTCTCATTTAAATACTCTGCATTAATATAATACAATTAGGGTAATTTCACAAACGGTCATTGACGTTACCTGAAAATCAAAAAACGGTCATTGAAGTTTAAAACTTGCAGAAACGGTCACTGAAATTTAAACTTCTTTCACAAACGGTAATTGGATTTTCAAATTTTTTGGACAAGTTTCGCGGCGATTTTTCGGCAACTTCCGACCACCAAGACCGTCGGATTTGGATATCGTTGGAAAATCTACAATGTCCTCTTCAATTACTACCAAAAATCTCTCCA